ATTGCAGTACAAGTGATGATTTCAGTTGGAATGGTAATTTTTGCATTTGATTTTCACTGAAAAAACATAAAAATTATGATGATGTGAGTTTTGTTGGGGCTTGTACCAAACAGACATTGATTGAAAACCATGATAGAAAACTAGTATGGCTAAGTTTCCCAAAAGCGTCCCGGAGCACAGATCAGTTGGAAAGCAGGTGAACTGAGACGACCGACGTTTGGCGAGATCCTTAAAGCTGCTCGAGCTTGGATTCACATTTGCAGCTATTCTCAGACTCAGAGCAAAATACAGTGTCTGCCGGCCAGAACAAGGCCGATAAATCATACATGGGAGCCAGAGTCCTTTTTCAAACAGACTCTGGGGCTCTGCTGTAATTATCAGAAATGAAACAGTGGAGAACAGGAGGTTCCTGCTTTGCCATAAGATCTTTCAGGAAAGAAAGAAAAGAGAGAGAGGGAGAGTTTTAAAATAACAGACTGGTAGAGTCTCACAGAGGAATATCATCAAGACCATATGTGAGCGAAGGAGGAGAGAACGAAATCCAGTGGTTCAACATCAACCCAAGCTTTCAAAAGAGTTTGACTTCGCGATACGATGAAACAACTGAACTTTTTACACACACCTGTTTTAGCCTGAACCCGCCCATGTCACGTGTCAAAAACTGCGTTTAAACACCGTTTTGTTGCCACCACACAAAAGCTTCAGTCACATTTTTGCACTGTTCTCGATTTCACCGCAGGACAACAAACCAACATTCAAAGTAAGACGACTGAGAGAAAATGAGCATCGGTGCTTTTCATCCCCTCACAGCATCACTTTGCTAATGAAACAATCAGCCTTCATCCTCCTGCTGAAGCAACTTTTAGTGTGATTACAATGACGATAGTGATGCACCTGCTGAATGTGCAGGCTGCCAGGAAGTTATTTTATTGTGGTGAACGCTCTTTTAATTTCCAGGAACATCCATTACTGGAAAAACCCTTTAAGTCCAAATCTCAACTATTTGACTTTTTCTCTCTTTTACAAAAAAACACAATTGGCTCGCATCCCTAAATGATTAAACAAGATTTACTTTACAAGCCAGCACACTTTAGAGAGAAATTAATAAATGATCCAGCAGCGTATTTTAAGTATGAAATGGATCAATAATGATGAAAAAATAAACCCTTAAAATGTGGGACTCATTGATCTACGTCTAATTCGTTCATTGCTGGAGGAAGAATCGTCCAGCCAAGAAGTGATGCTACCTGCCTCCAGTGAAAGTGCTACTTACAACCCGCCCACTCTGTTTGATTGATAGGTGGTCTGTGGGAGGTACAACAAAGTACAGTCACGTTTCAAAGATAAAAAAAGGAAACAAATCAAAATTTACAACAAAAATGCAGCAGATACAGCTGGTCAGGCGGGGTCAGCTTGATGTGTGTGTGTGTGTGTAATCTGCAGTGTGTTGAGGTGGACAGCTTGTTATCTGGGGCTGAACTGCAGAGCTTAATATTCAGCCAGGAGCCAGATTAGTTCAGGACATCCTGTCAGTCTGCAGCTGCAATAGGAGGGGACGGCAGCGAGTGTCCTTCCACCACTGCGAGGAAACCATGCGAGTTTTTTTAGACCTCGAGAGCGAGGACAGACGTGTTTTCAGGTTTAAGGTTAGACTCAGGTTGAGGTTAGCGGCGCGGGAATGCTTCTTTATCAAGAGAAATAAGAAATGTGTATTAATCACATTGCGGGGAGTCAAAAAAACAGTTCCCACAAAGTTCACCACTAGTTTTAGTCTCAAGATTTGGCTTGAGATGTCAAAATACGATGGCCTGGATGTTGTCAATCCACAAAACACGTATGATAAAATGATCCCCGAAGACTTAATGAGAGTCTCAGCAGCATCTTGACACATGTTCTTGTGGGTTGACATGCATCAATATTCTGTCAGTGTGTGGGGTTAAATAGGGCACAGTGGGTGTTGACATCCATTTTGCAACCAGTATGTGCTGCCCAGTATGTACTGGACTGCAGCTGGTGTGGAGTTATATACTGAGTTAGATACTGCCTGGATGTATCAGTATTCACAGACATGTTGCGTACAGCAGTGTAAGCAAAATAATAAACAATAATAATAAAAACTGACTCTGTATCCACAGCTATTGGCCACATACTTTACATTATCAGGGATCAGCCATCAATATTTCCTGAGTGCAACTGATTTGTGTCAGTGCTGAAACATCAACAAGTCAATTAATCAATCAGTTCATCAACAATACTTTTCATTATTGATTCATCTATCATTTCTGCAACCTGAGGATCTGCAGTGTTTTCAAATACACTCAAGATGATTACATTTACTCAGACTAAAGGTTTCTGATACTTAAAACCCTGACGGCAAACGTCACACCGTCACGTGACCGACAGCTGGATGCTACGAATGTCACACCTGTGCTGAGGGTTGTCTGAAAGGCATTGTGGGAAATGTAGGCACTCACTAACCTAAGTAGAAACAGAGAGAGAAGAAAACGTTCCTCCCTTATTTACTACCATTAAGGTGCTCTTGAGCAAGGCACTCAACCCCCAACTGCTTCAGTGGAGCTGCTCCTCAGCAGCCACATTTTTTCCAATTTATCATTTTTACTTTGTTGTGGTGTTTATGTGATCGTGCGCCACAGTTTGTTTGTTTGTTTGAATACTCAGTGGACGTCTCCTGCTCCATCATCCCTCCCCCTGTGACATGAAACTGCAATTTTAAACCCAACATGTGCTCCGCCACGAGGATGTTTCAGCATATCAACCCTTGAACCATCAGGGAAGTGAGCCATGAGGGAAACAGGAGTTTAATGCCTTGCTCAAAGGGCAGTTCACCAGGACACGTGGTCCCTGTGGCGCTGTAGCGGCACCTGACTGTTGATAATGTCATTTCTGCCACCGCCCCCGCTGAAGGAGGAGAGGGATGATGCGTGGAAAATTGAAAAATTAGGTCAAAGTCTGCGGGATGCGGGAAAGCTTTGCACTGGCTGCCGCCGTGCATTTACACCATCAGCTAAGCATGTAAATAATGCAACGGGGCATCTGACCCCATTTCCCTCAGACGCACTTGTTTACATTAGAGCAACTCTAAGCTGGCAAGCTACATAAAAAAAAAAATGTGTGTCACCTTTTTCCCATCCCTCCCCCCTCCTCCACATCACTGCATATCTCAGCTTTTGAAACCTGCATTTGCAGCAGCAGTGGAAACATTAAAATGCGATGTGTGCATTTGCAGTCAGCTGTTAAAAATCGCTTCCCCTCTCCCTCTCTCTCTCCCTCTCTCACCCTCTCTCTCTCTCTCTCCCTCTCTGTGCTTTTCCCCGTCTTTCTCCATACATGGCTGAGCCCCGCGAAGCCTCCAGACTGCATGAGAAACAGGGAAAACACTAAGCTCGCAGGCAGCTGAAATATGACACTATGATACTCTCCAGGCTGAGAGTGAGTCTGCAGCAATGTGACATATCAATCTGAAAATAAAGAGGAAGAAGAGGAGGGAGGAGGAGGAGGAGGGGAGTTAATGAGAAAATCAATACCAAGGCTGCATTTCAGCATATATGCTCTGGTGTTATGGAAAAAAAGAAAAAGCTGGAATATAATGGAAATCATTCATCCCCCCTGAAAAAGCAGCCGGGCTGCAGTGTGTCATGTGAAAACAGTGTCTTTTAACAGCTGCTTAGTCTCTGCTCATAATCTAAGCAGCATGCAGGGCTCTGCTGAACGGGATTTTCCAAAATGACAGTGAGGACAACAACAACTTCTTACTGACAAACCCAAAGATAAACCTCTGTAGTATTCCCATGATATCCCCACTGGGGGCTATAACGTCCCTCTGGTGCTCAATGGAGACCTTTAAGTGCACTTTACGCTGGTGATTATCTGTTCTGACATCTAATAATAGAAAGATTGGTCAAATAATCAACAGAAAATGTACCAATTAATCATAAAAGAGGCCAAATATTCACAGGTTCCTGTTGCTTAAATGCAAGGATTTGCTGTTTTTCTCTGTTTATACCACTGTAAACTGAGTATGTTGGGGTTTGGGACTGCTGGTTGCACAAAACAAGACATATGAGTAACATTCTTAACACTTTATTATTTTCTTCTCTGTTTAGTATCATTGTAAACTGAATATTTTGGGTTTGTAATGTGAAAAAGCAGATTGAAGATGTTAAACTGAGCTCCCTGCACATTATGGGCATTTTTTTACTACTTTTAACACTTAATGGAGTAAAGATCAATCAAGTCATCAGAAAAGATAGTCAATAGATTAATCAATAATGTAAATAATCAACAACTGCAGCCCTAATGGCATCACTACAACTCTACTGTGGAGTTTTCTTGCACTTCTGGTTAGATGATTAGCTGCATTTCGTTGCCCCAGTACTTGAACTCTGTGCAATGACAAAGTTGAATCTAATCTAATAGCAGTGATTTAAGGGTTAATATGGTACTTTATGCCATTTTCTCCTATAATATAACTATGATGCCTGGTGCTAAGTAATGACTTCATATGATTTGTGTCTTTGTGATATTTCTGTTATATTCCTGGAGGATTTTGAGGAACTGTGTGGTGCTAAATTGTGCAGTTTAATTGTATTTTTCATCTCGTTTTCATGGCATATTTGTGCAGTAAGGACTTATGATAACGTGAGAATATCATAAGAATACTACAGTCTCACCACAGCATGCCAAGTCTGTTTCCACCTCAGTACCACACCACCGAAACACCACATCCTCTGCATCCAAATCACAGCCTGATAAACCAGAGCAGTCACTATGGCAGCGTGGGTGCGTGCGTTTAATAAATGTGGACTTGAACTTGTGGCAGCTCAACACTTTTCCTCCTCGCAGCTCAAACTCAGAACCGGTTCGTCCTCTCAGCAAGGACCGACCAGCAGCGACTCAAACGCCCACCAAGAGCAGCAGCAGCAGCGCCGGGCACAGCCGGGTAGAGCCGCCGAGCTCCGCGGTGAAATTCAAGTACTCACCCTCCGACAACTCCAGCTCCAGCTCGGCCAGTTTAGCCCTCACCTCCGCAGGAAGCGGCACCGGGTCCCGGTCCGCCATTCCGCCTTTAGAAACCGACTTAAATCTCTGTTTTCCGGCTCTTTCTCCCTCTTTTCTCTCTTCAGGCTTCTCCTCGAACCCCCAAAAAATCCAAAGTCAGTCAGAGTGCGTCTCTGAGTGTCGCTGTCTGTGCGGCAGCGGCGCTGTTCGTCCGTCGCAAACCTGAGTCAAGATAGCCAAGACATGGCGCTTCTTCTTCCGGTACTTTCATTTTCAAAATAAGAGCGTTTTGTGTAACGCTTTTCATAACAGTACTTTAACAATTCCAGATGCTTTAAATTTAGATTTAGATGTTTGTATTTATAAGTTTTGATTAATAAACAACTTAAATTTTTGATAATTTATCAAAATTGTTCACACTCAAGTGGGGGTCAATAAGGACCCAGCAATAAATGTGTGTCCTGGGGCCCCCTACGAGGTTAATTACCCAAAAACTGCCTTCTCATACTAAGTCAAAATAATGACATTTTCAGTCAAAATTATATCTGATCAAAAAACTTCAAAAACTAGCTACTATTACTAAAAATAACAAAATTTTGAATTTAAGACTTTTGATAAATCAAAATTATGATATTTTGATCCATTATCTCATCATTAATCTTAAAAAGTGCAATTTTTGATTTTTTTTCATGGTTTTGACATTATATTTTGATTTACACGCCCAAATCCCAAGTTGAGTCATTGTGGAAGTCCATTCTCACAATAAAAAGAGGGATGGGAAAAAATTACTTATAAATATATACACAGTCAAATATATTAAATAGCGGCTCAAAAATTACAAGAGAGTAAATCAAAATTAATCAAAATTCTGATATTTTAAGTCAAAATCTTGGTAATACTGAGCAAAAATAATGAAAATAAAAAGTCTAGATGTATTTTTTCATGGTTCTGGATTTTATATTTTGATTCATGATAAGCTATGCATTTTTTCATCTTTTTTATATACACATAAAATATTATAAAGTTGTCGTCATTTCCAAAGTACAAATACAAATAATTCAAAAAGCCTTAGAAACAGCCAGTTAAACCTTACACTGAAGCTTTGCAGCATCAACGTTTTGGTTTCTATCTTCTATATCTCTAGAGACATATACATTTAACGTTAATGATCTGACTAGCAGACTATTTAAAAAAAAAAAAAACAACTACTTTGTAGCTGTGGCGCATACTCCATTACTTTCCATTTTTTCTCACCAAACTGCTTTTGTGCTTTTATTTTGGAGGCAAAATCATCCATCTTCCTTTCTGATGCCTGTTAATTGTGTTGTATTGATTCTGCTCGCAGGTAGAATTCACTGCAGTTCACTGCAGGTGACTTAGGACAGTTTGAAAACATCAGTAATAACTGTAATAATGACTGCGCATTCAGGAATCACATATTTGTTTTTTGTTGTTTTTTTGTTTTGAAGAGAAAATAAAAACAGATTATTAGAAAACTGATAAAATAACCATCAGAGGGCGCCATATCTATCTATCTATCTATCTATCTATCTATCTATCTATCTATCTATCTATCTATCTATCTATCTATGTGCGTGAATGTGCACATATGGCCAAAAGTATGCGGACACCACTGGCCGCATAATTTTGTGTACTCTGTTCAGGGTCTCAGGATTGGTCTGGACCTTTAGTTCCAACGAAGAAAAATCTAAATGCTACAGCACATAATAATAAATCAGTGTGTTTCCTATTTTGTGTCAAAAGTGTAAAATGATAAAAAAATAAATAAATGCAGCACCTTTAATTCTCAAACAGAAGGTGATCAGTCATGGTGGGTCATTTTATGGACACATACTGTGAAGCTTTGTACAAAACATCTGCACACTGACTATAAGCCACAGAATTCATTCAAAAAGACAATGTTTTGATATTAAAATGGTCAGAATGCTGTGACTGTCAATCAAGGAGGTAGATCTCAAAGAGTGAGGAGCTACACTTGTTCCACAGCCACACTGTATTGCATATTTTCCAGTTCCACAGACTGTGCACAGACAGACTGTGCTCCGAGGTGACTCTTATTCTGCGGGGTCAGACATTTTTCAAAATAAAACTTTTCAACAAGTTTATATTTTCTTTGCACATTTGTTTCATTACGTCAGGTGGGAGCAGAAGAAAGAAAAATCAAATAAACAAACAAAAGAAAAGATATTCTTGATCTTTGAAGTTTGTAGTTATGTTCTTTGACATTTTGGGAAATAATGGCGAGAGTCAGAGATTCAGATTGACGCCACTCTCACTCCTGTGTACTGACTGAATATGAGGCTGCAGCCAGCAGCTGGTTAGCTTAGCTTAGCATAAAGACTGGAAGAAGGGGGAAACAGCTAGCGTGGCTCTACCCAAAGGTAACAAAACCTGCCTGTTAATCGCTGCATCTAAAAGTTCACTAATTAAAACATTATGTGTGTATTGATTATTGGAAAAATATTCCGTTTTGATGTGGGGACAAAGGAAAATGTGACTTCTGTAGATTTTTGGATATTTATCAGGCATCATGTTCCTCCTACAGGTCAGAAGTGAATGTGTATTACTTTTTTTTTATTACTTTTTTATTATTATAATAATAATTATTAATATATTGTTTATTCAAAAAGTGTGGCTAATGTCTCAAAATCAACATGTGATGTAGGATATCATCATCATCTAATTTTTCAAAGCATTTTCATTCAATTTTTATAAGAACTTGTTTGTTTGTTAGCAAATCCTCCCATCATCACCATTTTCATGTTCGCCATCAGCACCAACATCATCACCATCATCAGTGACTGTCTGCACTGTCCTGTGTGAACACACTGCCATCTTGTGGCTCTTCACTCTCATCAGGACCAGCTGACACCTGAGGCTGAAGATCTGATTTTTTTAATGTAGTGCAACTTATGACAACATACTGATGTTTATGATGTTTTACAAATGTAGTTAAGGTAAACTGACATAACATCTGGTTGTGTCACGTTTTACTGCACAGCACATGTAATCAGGCTTTAAAACAGATGCAGTTCTTAGCAACATCATCTCTTTCCTGTTAAATCTCCTATAAAGTTGTTCTTGCCCCTTTATTTTTCTATATTTTACTTTTGGTCATATTTTTTATGATATTTTGTCAAGTCTACTGAGACACCTGTGACTTTGCATGTCAAACAAACTTACAAGATCACATACTTCCACTGTGATGGAACTGGTGTCTTTTATCAGCCTTTTTCGCTCCAATTTAGAATTAGCTGTCCTTGGACTACATGGTTTTTGTTATTGTCCTGAGATGCCTGGTAGAGGCAGTGCAACTCTATGTTAACTGAATTATAATTCTTACTGCATGTTGTATGCGAGGGAGTTGGAGTTGTCTGCAGAGTATTCACCTGGAGAGGACACAGAAAAGTATACAAATAGTTTCATACTGGGGGAGGGAGCAGCAGCAGCAGCTTGTTGTTGTTGTTGCTGTTGTTGCTGTTGTTGTTGTTAAGACAGAAGAGAGACATTGATATCTTTAATCCTTAAATCCTTAGGGATCTGTTCTGGTATCAAAGCTTACAAAACTTCAGAATATGAAGCTGTGCTTTTTATTCTTCTGTGGGAATTCTAAGAAATATGAACAATATTACCTGCCCAGCTCCAAGTGACTTTTGTATCTTACTTGGGTCATAATTCTTACTGCATGTTGTAAAAGACAGATAACACAGTGTTTCTAGCTTCAACACTCATCAAGCTCCACCCTGTCACATATTTATGGGTGTAGACAACATGTAGTGAACTGTAGTAGATGATAAGTCTCACTCATTGCAGCAAGTGAACAAGAGCGGACAGAGCAGAGTTTTGTTTTCCTTCACAGCACAGACATTGTTTCTGTTCAGAGAAAGTGAAACTATTTGACAGCGACTCTCAGGAGGTGACATGGCACAACGAGGAAATCAGCTGGACCAAGAGAGATTCTGCTGTTCGATCTGTCTGGATCTACTGAAGGATCCGGTGACTATTCCCTGTGGACACAGCTACTGCATCAACTGTATTAAAACCCACTGGGATAAAGAGGATGGAAAGAAAATCCACAGCTGTCCTCAGTGTAGGAAGACCTTCATACCAAGACCTGTCCTGGTGAAAAGCACCATGTTAGCAGATTTAGTGGAGGAGCTGAAGAAGACTGGACTCCAAGCTGCTCCTGCTGATCACTGCTATGCTGGACCTGAAGATGTGGCCTGTGATTTCTGCACTGGGAGAAAACTGAAAGCCTTCAAGTCTTGTCTGGTTTGTCTGGTCTCTTACTGTGAGAAACACCTGCAGCCTCATTATGATGTAGCTCCATTAAAGAAACACAAGCTGGTGGAGCCCTCCAAGAAGCTCCAGGAGAACATCTGCTCTCGTCATGATGAGGTGATGAAGATGTTCTGCCGCACTGATCAGCAGTGTATCTGTTATCTCTGCTCTGTGGATGAACATAAAGGCCACGACACAGTCTCAGCTGCAGCAGAAAGGACTGAGAGGCAGAGAGAGCTCCAGCTGAGTCGACAACAAATCCAGCAGAGAATCCAGGACAGAGACAAAGATGTGAAGGTGCTTCAACAGGAGGTGGAGGCTATCAATGGCTCTGCTGATAAAGCAGTGGAGGACAGTGAGAAGATCTTCACTAAGCTGATCCGTCTCATGGAGAAAAGAAGCTCTGATGTGAAGCAGCAGATCAGATCCCAGCAGAAAACTGAAGTGAGTCGAGTCAAAGAGCTTCAGGAGAAGCTGGAGCAGGAGATCACTGAGCTGAAGAGGAAAGACGCTGAGCTGAAGCAGCTCTCACACACAGAGGATCACAACCAGTTTCTACACAACTACCCCTCACTGTCACGACTCAGTGAATCTACAGACTCATCCAGCATCAATATCCGTCCTCTGAGCTACTTTGAGGACGTGACAGCAGCTGTGTCACAGCTCAGAGATAAACTACAGGACATTCTGAGAGACACATGGACAAACATCTCACTGACAGTGACTGAAGTGGATGTTTTACTGTCACAACCAGAGCC